TGCATAGTACAGCGTAAGTATATATATTATATATATATACGCCATATATATTCGATATAATATTACCTAATATACTTATACAATTAATTCGACATCTGCCTACCCTTTATTTAGCGACCAACGTTGGTTGCCAAGTTTAAATTATATATATTTAAATTATATATATATTTTTTAAAATAATAATATAATTATTAAAATTTTGAAGGTGGGTCCCACTTTAACGACCAACATTGGTCGCTAATCTCAGTAAACCTTTGACCAAGCAAGTCTGACCAGTCCAGTCAACATTTTGACTAATTTAGCGACCAAATGGCGACCAATCTTGGTCACTAATTTGTTTCATTTATTTATTTTATTATTTTCGCTAGTTTGGCGACCAACGTTGGTCGCTTTTCTCTTCAGACCAACTTTGGTCGCTATTTTTTGGTCGCTTTTTTCCTGAATTCTAGTAGTGAAACAAGAAATATATATTAATAACTAATTGTTTGGTACATAGCCTTCATAATTTGTGTCACTAAGGACACTTTGATTCCCTAAGCTTGCTAGGATATTGCAAGCATCATAAGATAACGGCTTAACAAAAACATAGAGTTCCGTTTGGTCACTTTCCACAAAAGAGTTTACATAAGATGGTGCTAATACAAAAAGTTGTTTCCCTTTTTCCTTTGCCTTCTTTACCAAGCGATGACCTATCATATTCCCTTGCCTGAAAGTGTGCTAGAGGATTACCTTCTGTTGGTGCATGAACAACCTGCATTTATTAACAATGTTGTCATATAATTTGTTTCCTTGTTATATTGAATGGATTACCTCCTTGGAGTCCGTCTCTATTTCAAGCGGAAACATTCCCCATTCTTGTGCTGTTTTGAGCCTCACAATTAGTGCCTTCATTTCTGTTTGTAGTGAGCCACTAGCCTGGGTAGATTTTGCAAATCCAACCATCCAATTCCCGTAGGTATCTCTGATTACACCTCCAAGGCCACTTTTTTGGTTATGGTTATTGAAACTAGCATCGATGTTAAGCTTAAACTGCCCTCTTGGTGGTTTGTTCCATTTGATCTTTATCGGTATTTTGATAGATATGTTGGGGCTTTTTTCAGTGAGTAGCATAAATTCAGTTGCTTTTTGGATGATATGATTATCATTAATAGGATAGTCAGTGTTGTTTTGATTGTTATTATTTATATTAAGCCAAATGTGCCAAAAGGCGAATGGGAAGAAGGAATTCCAGTTAATGAAGTTATTTGTGAGGGGGGTAATCAAAGTCTTTTAATTATAGGAGCCAATGTTTGTTCTTGTTTTGGGAAAACTTTTCCCACCCAAGACTTTCCCAGAAAATTTTATAGCTTTACACCTTAGGAATATATGAATTATAGATTCCTCTTGGAGGCATTTGCATATAGGGCAGAAGGGATCAATATTCATTCAAATTTGCGAGAGATATTTCCGGCATGATATTCTGTTATGCAGACACTGCCACAAGAAGAATTTGATTTTATTAGGGCAATTTAGTTTCCAAATCCAAGAGAAGTCTAATTGATTGTTTATAGGAGGTTCTATAAGGGTGTAACAGATTTTTGTTGAGAAAAACTTTTTGTATTTAAAGACCATATAGGAATATCATTGATAGGGCCTTTGTTACGTATTTTTTTCTTAGTGATATTTTCTTTGATATTATTAGGAAGGTTGATTGATAAATTATTAAAGCACCAAGTTTCCCCGTTAAAAATGTCTCTTATTTTTACTGAGAGATCATTTGTAGTTTGAGGACCTGTTACTTCTTTCCTAAGTTTTTTCATATTGGATATCCAGTTGGTTTCCCATATGTTCATGTTGGAATGGTAATGGGGTGACCAAGTGATTCCTTTAGAGCAAATATCCCATCCTCTTTGGATAATTTTTCAGATGAAGGAACTTTTATTTTTGGCACCGTTAGTACCATATGAGGTGATGATTAATCGAGCCCAAGGGGTTGTAGCATTTGTAAGAATTCTTCATGCAAGACTTGCTAGTGTGCCTAAATTCTTAGAACTAGCACTATGAATATCTAAGCCTCCAGTATTTTTTGATTGACATAATGTAGTCCAATTAACAAGATGGATCTTCTTTTTTTTCTATGGTGCTACCCCATATAAAATCCCTTTGAGTTTTATCAATCTTGTTAAGGATATTTTTAGGAAGTAGGGTGTATTGCATATAGTGATTGGGTATTGAGTTGAGGCACGAGTGGGCTAGGGTAGTCCTTCCTGCTACGTTAATGAATTTTAGTTTCCAGGATGCTAGCTTAGTTCTCATATTGTCCACAATAAACTTGTGATGACCCAAAAGGTCATCACTCGTTTTAAAAGTAAATTCTATGTTACGAGGCCTTAAAAACCTCTTTTTTTCCTACCTCGATTTGTGTGTGCAGTCCGGGCGCGTTTCCGGAAAGTTTTTTTGTGAAAAACTAAGTAAAATATGGAAATTGGCTTTTAAAATTGAATAAAGTTGACTTTGGTCAACATTCTTGGTAAACGGACCCGGACCCGTGATCCGACGGTCTCGTAGGGTCCGTAGTAAAATATGGGACCTGGGCGTATGCCCGAAATCGAATTTCGAGGTCCCAAGCCTGAGAAATGAATTGTTAAAGAAAATTGTTTTCTGAAAAATATAAAGGTTTTTAGAAGTGAATTGATGCCTTTTCTTGATGGTATTGGGCCTGTATCTTTGTACCGGAGCCCGGTACAAGTTTGAAATAATGATTAAGTTGATTCTGTAAAATTTGGTAAAGATCGAAATTGGTTTGATATAAAACGGACCTATAGTTGAGAAAATAGTAATTTTGATGTTCTTGAGTGATTTCATGACTTTGAGGTTTGATTCATAGATGTTGATGTTATTTTGATGATTTGATCACACGAGCAAGTCCGTATGATGTTTTTGGACTTGCGTGCATGACAGGTTTGGAGCCCCGAGGGCTCGGGTGAGTTTTGGATAGGCCACAGAGTGCATTTAGACTTGGAAAATAACTATTGCAGGTTCAGAGAAGTTGCAAGTCTCTGAACCAGGCTTCGCGGTCCGCAGTAAATCTTCGCGACCGCGGTGGAGTCTTCGCGACTGCGGTGGGATTCTATGCGGTCCGCGGTGAGCAAGGCTATGTCTTCGCGGCCGCGCTCGATATTTCGCGATCCGCGATGGAGCTCTGCGGCCGCGGTGAGGGTCTGAGAGGAGTATATAGACGGGACTTTTCAGCCATTTTTTATTTTTCAAAAACTTAAAACATAATAGGCAATTTTCAAACACTCTTTCTTCCCCAAAATACAAGTAAGTGATTTTAAACTCATTTCTTTCACTCCTTAACTTCTTTTTACAAGATTTCATCCTAGAATCTAGGGTTTTCATGGTGGAATTGGGAATTTTGGGTAGAACTTGGGAATATTGAAATTTGGGATTTAGACCTCAAATTGAGGTCGGATTCCGAAACCAATTGTATATCCGGGCTCGGGGGTGAATGGGTAATCGGGTTTTGGTCCAAATTTCGGGTTTGGACCAAGCGGGCCCGGGGGTCGATTTTTGACTTTTTGGGAAATCATTTGAAACCCATTTTCGTGCATTAGAATTGATTCATTTAGCATTTATTAATAGTATTAATTAAATTATGGCTAGATACAAGCGAACTGGTGGTGGAAACAAGAGGTAAAGCGGTAGTTGAGACTTGAATTATGTTCCTGGCATCGAGGTAAGTGTTTGGTCTAACCTTAGCTTGAGGGAATAGGTATTGTGCTTTAATTGCTATGTGCTAGTGTAGTGTACAACGCATAGGTGTGGTGACGAGTATCTATACGTCGTTGTCAAGCATGCCCGTGAGTCTTAAATTGTGATCGTTGTGTTCTTGATAAATACTACAGATGCTTAAGCTGTTGATTCTCCGTGTTGGGCAAGTATTATGATTCTCCCCGTGGTATATGATTATTGTTGAGTATTTGTTCCAGTTGAGGTTTCATTTGTGAAGTTATATGATGGCATAAGCTTGGTTATAGCTGATTCCCTTGTCGGGACTTAGTTAGCTCTTACTGTTGGTTCCCTTGCCGGGATGTGCTTATTCTCATAGTTGATTCCCTTGTCGGGACATTGTTATTTCCTTATTGTTCCCTCGCCGGGATTCATTTGTGATTGGTGTTGAATTGTATATTATATGGGATCGGGTTGCACGCTGCAACATGGAGTAATAAGGGAGGACAAGAGGGATCGGGTTGCACGCCGCAACAATGATATATGATTGGATCGGGTTGCACGCCGCAATAATGATATATGATTGGATCGGGTTGCACGCCGCAACAATGATATATGATTGGATCGGGTTGCACACTGCAACAGTGTTATATGATTTGATCGGGTTGCGCGCCACAATAGGGTTATATGATTGGATCGGGTTGCACGCCGCAACAGTGTTACATGATTTGGATCGGGTTGCCTGCCGCAACAATAAATGATTAAAAGAAAGGGTGGATTTTGATTTGTTACTGTTTCCTTATTCTTATTGATGCAAACCTTAAAATGTTCTTTATACTTTTCTCTGGAGTTACTGTTGGTAATTGATATTCCCCCGCAGCATACTCCCCTTCCCATCTTTAGCTGCTAGTTTCCGTTATTATTTCTTGCCGTATATGCTTTAACTGCACAGGTCTATTTGTTACTCTTGTCCTAGCCTCGTCACTACTTCGCCGAGGTTAGGCTCGACACTTACCAGCACATGCGGTCGGTTGTGCTGATACTACACTCTGCACTGTGTGCAGATTCCGGTGCTGGAGCATTTGGACCGTAGAGAGAGGTTGCTGCCTTTAGTACATCAGGAGACCCGAGGTAGTCCTGCAGGCGTCCGCAGGCCTTGGCGTCCCCTCCCTATCTAGTTTCTTTCTGTTCTTTTATATTCCAAAGATACACATGTAATTTCTTGTTCAGACTTTATTTGTAGTTTTCTTAGATAGTCCGTGAGATTGTGACACCAGTCTTGGGTGGTTTATGTTATAGATTCTTATCGGTATTGGCTTAATTGTTGAATTTCATTCTTCCGCTTATTTAATTTTCGTTGTTATAAAATGTTAATTTACAAGTGTTAAGGGATTTAAAAGGAAAAAGGGCTAAATAATTGGAACAATCGGCTTGCCTAGCTCTCTCCAGTAGGCGCCATCACGACTCTGAGGGTGGGGAATCCGGGTCGTGACAAAACTGGAAGTCTCTAGGTCTTGGACAATTTTTTAGTATTGGGAAGCCTAGGTAGGTACCAAAGTTGTCACATTTCTTTATACCTAGTTTATTAGAAGTATAATTAATAAAAGAAGGGGTGCAGTTTTTAGAAAAGAGGATTTTTGATTTTGTGCTATTGATACACTGACCTGATAGGTTGCAAAAAAGGTCTAGGCCATTTTTAATGGCATGGCATGATTTATCATTTACGTTTTCCATTAGGGTAAGGTCGTCAACAAAAAAATAGGTGAGAGAACTTAGGGCAATTTTTTTCTATGGTTATTGGATCCCATTTCCTAGTATCAACTTGGTGATTTATATATCTTGTTAGCATTTCTAGGCAGAGGATGAAGATATAGAGTGAAATGGCATCTCCTTGCCTGATGCCACGACTAGTCTCAAAGAAATTTGTGACAGATCCATTTACTAGGACAGCAATACTACTCGTTGAGATGCAATTTAGTAAAAACTTATAGAATTTGGGGGGTGGGTAGGGGGGTAACTTAGAAATATTTAGAGTGTGATAACAAAGACCATTCCAAACGGTCAAATGCTTTTCTNCGAATGGTTTTAGTCTATTTGCTAGAATTTTTGTAATTATTCTGTAGATAGTATTACAAAGACCAATTGGTCTGAAATTCCTAATGTTATTTGCATTAGGAATTTTTGGGATAAGACATAGATAGGTCTTGTTGATATCTTTAGGAATTGCTTGAGTACTGAATATGTCATGACAAAGCTTTTTTACCAACTGTCCTATGACTTTCCACTATTTCTGAAAAAAGAACGGATGGAGACCATCCGGTTCTGGGTCCTTAAAGGGTTTAAATGAGTATATAGCCCTTTTAATTTCGATATCTAGTAGGGGGTGTCTAAAGATTTTA